ATTTTAAAGGTTTTTAACCCAGTATCTCTCAAGTAGGAGCGGTTTTGTTCCCAAGGGATATCTGACAGTATTGAGATAGCTCAGTTTTCATGACAGGCCAGAAGCACTGCTCGAGTCCTTCTCTCCCAGGCTTCCGTTCTTACTGCAGCGCTTGGCAGAAGCCAGCCGCCCTGGGCAGAGAACTCATTTGGCTTGGTGGGCGCCGCGGAAGGAGGACTGAGGGGCAGAAGAAGGGAAGCTAAAGCTCGCGGGGGAGTAGGCTGAGCCTGCAACTGCAACGTGAGGTTGGATTTCAGCGCAGGCATCTTTGGAATGAGGACGGAGGGCTTGGTGCAGAAAGCACGGAGACTTTAACTAAAAGAGAGTATTTGCAGTTGCTAGGAGGAAGAAAACGAGGAAAGAGATAAGAGATTTTTGCAAGAAAGGAAGAGATTGAGTTAAAAGATTATTCTGTTTACTAAGAAAGCCTCGCTTATCTAGTGCTGACCTAGGTGGTTCACAAATATTTATTCTCTAAATCCTTGCAATCACCTTTTGTGTTATTTTTGTACCCATTTTACAGCTGAGGAAAGTAAGTTCATGCAGCTGGGAAGTAGTAGGAATAGGATTCAAAACTAAGCACCCCGTGGCTGGGGTGTAGCTCAATGGAAGAACGCCTGCCTGCCTAGCAGAGGGCAGGGTTCAATCCTAGCACCCGAAGGAACAAAGAAGCAGTTTGGATTCAGAGCTGTGGTTACTTTTAAGTTACTTCTCTGATTAAAATTCAGAAATGGAGAGAACTGTGTTTTTGAAGTAGGGAATATAAAAAGAAGAAAAAAAATTAAAAAGATTTTTTTCCCCTCTAAAAATAGGAAGAAAAAATCTTTTAAATTTTTTTTCTTTTTATAAGGACAGTCACATGGAGAGAAAACATTCTCTCAGGATTTCACAGAGAGCAAATTGGTCAAGCAATGGCCGTAACTCATCCACATGACTGACACTCACAAAGGAGCTACAAATTGCAGGGTAGGGTTTCAAGTTAAATCCTGAAGGAATTTGACTGACCTTATCAGATACAAAAGTTACATTTCCTGGGGGCCAGGGAGATGGCTCAGTAGGATAAGTGCTGTTCCACCAAAAAAAAAAAAAAAAAAAAAAAAAAAGTTACATTTCATGTTCTATAGGTCTTGCTTTATCTTGGTCTTAACCATCCAGCAGAATGAAAACGAAGTATTAAAAGTAAAGCCACGGGCTGGTGAGATGGCTCAGTGGTCTAAAGCACCTACTTAGAACAAGCTTAGCAAAGCACAGGGACCGCGGTTCAATCCCCCAGCACCACATGCCAGCC